CCCCAGCGAAAAAGTTCATAATAAGAAGAACTCATCTGAAGAAGGAGGAGAACTTGTTCAACCTTTTGCTTGATTCTATCACATAAGGTAGATCAACATCAACTTTGCCAGAAAAAGTTCATAATGAGAAGAACTCATCTGAAGAAGAAGAAGTTCGTAATGAGAAGAACTTATTCAACATTTTGTTCGACTCTATCGTAGAAGGATATAGAGCAACATCAATGTTCAACCTTTTGCTAGATTTCATCATAGAAGGGGATGAATTGTCATTTACAGTGGAAGAAGTTCATAATGAGAAGAATTTGTTCAACATTTATGTCCTAATCAAGAGAAGTTAAATGAGCACAAATTTATTGCCTTTTCGTCTTTGCCCTATTCTTGTTAACACAAGAATGAGCAAAGAGGGGCAGCTGTAGACACTAAATTTTTAGCTGCAGCAGCCCCTCCACGTTGCAAATTCTAGTAGCTTCCAACTGCAGCAGCCCCTCCACGTTTCAGCTCTACTACAACACCCTTTCCAGCAGCTTCCAGAAGCCAGCTGCCCTTCCACGTTGAAGCTATAGGGTGAGTCACCACCATAGTTTGGTGACTCACTGGAAAATCGCCCTATTAACTGGTCCATAGCGAGCCTTGGTGGTGGCTATAAAGCCACCAAATTTGCAAAATCAAAAAAAAAGAAAAACAACCACCAAAACCACGAGCAAGCAACGAGAGCAAGCAATGACGACCAACAACGAAAAGAAGAGAAGAGATAGAGGGAACTTACCTCGTCGGAGCCTCCCTACACCGCGAAAAGAATCAAAATACCCGAAGGTATTTTTTAGATCTACGTAAATTAAAGGTTTGTAGGGAGAACGTGGTCGGAATCGGAATCGGTTTTAGAATGGTCCGATCTATATTTTGAGAAGATTTTGTATTTTCCGGCCACTGTATGCGGTGGCCGACGGTGGTGACCGGAGCCATAGCTCCCTTCGGCCGGAGGCTCTAGAGAGGAGGAGGAGAGAAATTTTTTTCTCTCTTTTAGAGAGAGAAGCTGAAATGGAAAAATGAAAGAAATGGCTCAAGGGAGTCGGTTTTTAGGCTATTTATACCCTCATCAAAACGGCGTTGTTTTGATGAGGGGTCTGGGTGTAATTTCAAAATAGTTAAACTACACGTACAGTCACCTGAAGTTTATAAACTTTCATTTTAGCCACTGAAATCAATTTATGAACATATTAATATTATATTCAAATTTTATTTTATTCCATTTTAGTCCTTATCTGTATATTTATATGCTTAAGGTAAAATACCATGATTAATCCTTTTAATTAAAAAAATAATTTTAATCCCGTATAATTATATAGGTTAAATTACACTGATAATATTTAGGTTTTATGGTATTTCGAATAATGTCTCTTAATTTTGCTCTTTTATAAATTAATCACTAATTTTTTTTTACTATGAATTTTACATATTTATAATTTAATTGTTTTAATTTCAATTATTTGTTATTTAAAAACTTTCTTAAAATCGTTGTCAATTAGCTATTCACTATAAATTTGCCTTTAATGTTTCATTTTCCTTAATTAGTTGTAATCTTAATGTTTGTGTCTTTGACTTTATTTTTTCCATACTTTAATTTTCTTTTCATTTATTTATAATTGATATCTTAAATTTACTTTCCATTCTATCCATTTTTAATCATAATATAAATTAATATTATTTGAATTTATTATATAGATATTAATTAAATATAAATCTCTTTTATTTATTTTATTAATTCGTTTACTTTTATTATACTTATACATGGTATTTTATTATTAATATAACGTTAAGTGTGTTTAATTAATATAAATCTCTTTTATTTATTTTATTAATTCGTTTACTTTATTTATACTTATCCATGGTATTTTATTATTAATATAACGTTAAGTGTATTTATATTGTAGTTTTAATTTTATTTAGTTATTTTATTTCATTATTTATTTGTAATATTATTTTATTAGTATTTTTAATATATTTTAATTATTACTTTAATTATTATTTTATTATTATTTTTTATCTTAGTCTTATATATATATATATATATATATATATATATATATATATTTGTTTAAATAATAATATGTATTTATTTTTAATATCAAAGAAAATGGTAGTCTTAAAGTAACTAGATGTCCTATTCTGGTATTTTAAATAAATAAATATCTTACTTATAAAAATCAGAAAATACATATTGTTTTATTTAAATTATTTTCTTAGAAAAGTAATCATATTTATATATTTATATATTTTTTAATATTAAAAAATGGGCTGTCTTAAAGCACCTAGAAGTCATTTTCTAATATTCTTAAATAAATAAATATCTTACTTTTATAAATTATATCTATTTTTAAATAAATGTTTTAATTATTTATTTATTTTTTAATATCGAAGAAAAGAGCTGTCTTAAGGCACCTAGAAGTCATTTTTTGATATTTCTAAATAAATAAATATTTTATTTATAAATATATATAAATTAATATTTTTTTCATAATTATAATTTTGAAATAATAGGATTATAAATTAAATATATTTTGAATTTTTAAATTTCTAATAATAAGAGACAATTTATAATTAAAAAGTACCAATTTTGGGCGTTGTAGGGGTGCTAATCCTTCCCTAAACGTAACCGACCACGAATCCCTTTTTACTATTAAAAAGAAAGAATTGTTGGTTAAAACACAGATCAGTTTATCTTTTAATCGATGTTTTCTTAAAAACTCTTTTAAAGGATGATTTTTAGGTATTCGACCTACCTGACCCAAAAGGCCGATGGCGACTCCCAAATTATTAAAAAAAACCATTTATTCCCATCACTTTTCCCGTCAAGTAAATTCCTATCACTGTGTGGTTAGCCCTAGGAGATGAGGGAGTTAAGTGGTTGACCAATATCTTTAATATTATTTTAGAGACTGCCAAGATGCCAGAGGAGTGGAGAGAGTCTACGGTGATACCAATCTATAAAAATAAAGGAGATCCCCAACGTTGTGGTAACTACAGAGGTATTAAACTACTCAGCCATACCATGAAGCTATGGGAAAGGGTGATAGAGGCTAGGTTGAGACAAGTTACTAGGGTTTCGGAAAACCAATTTGGCTTTATGCCAAACAGGTCTACCACGGAGGCGATTCATCTACTTCGACGGCTTATGGAGAAATATAGGGAAAAGTCTAGAGATCTTCACATGGCGTTCATTGACCTTGAGAAGGCTTATGATAGCGTTCCTCACGATACGATCTGGAAGACTTTGGAAACGAGACGGATACCAACTGCTTATATCCGGGCGATTCGTGATATGTACTGTAGATCTACTACTTACGTCAGGACTACAGTTGGTGACACCGAGGCATTCCCGGTGGAAATCGGACTCCACCAGGGGTCGGCTCTTAGCCCTTACATCTTCGCCTTGATTATGGACGATATCTATTGTGCGACACCAGACGGTGTACCTTGGTGTATGCTTTTCGCTGACGACATTGTCCTCGTTGCTGAAACAAAATCTGAGTTGAATAGTAGACTGGCTACCTGGAAGACTGCTTTGGAAGAAAAAGGTTTAAGGATCAATATTGAAAAGACAGAGTATTTATGTTCAAACTTCAATGGGAACCAAAACGATGAAGATGTAGAAGTATGCGTAGAAGGACACGTTCTTCCCTCAAAGGATTGTTTCAAGTACTTAGGGTCTATGATACATAAAGATGGGGGTGTAGATGATGACGTTACACACCGTATAAAGGCGGGATGGCAAAAGTGGAGGGCCGCTAGTGGAGTTTTGTGTGACAAGAAGGTGCCTCTAAAACTTAAGGGAAAATTTTATAGAATGGCAATAAGACCAGCGCTGTTGTATGGATCAGAATGTTGGGCACCCAAGAAGGATCACGTAAGGAGGATAGAGGCCGCAGAAATGAGAATGCTTCGATGGACATGTGGTAGGACTCTGTGGGATATGACGACAAACTCTGCTATTAGGATGTCCTTAGGGGTGGTGTCTGTTTCCGAAAAATTGAGGGAGGGAAGACTACGGTGGTTTGGGCACGTCCTTAGGCGACTACCGTCGGATGCGGTCAGGAGGGTAGAGTCGATTACAGTCGACGGTGCCAGAAGGAAAAGACGACCAAGGCGGAAGTGGGATGACTGCTTGAGATCTGATTTGATGGATTTAGGCCTTACCGAAGACATGACCTATGATAGGAAATTATGGAGGCTTAAGACTAGGGTAGTCGAGTAGTGTGGGTCCAATCTATAGGGTGTATCATCTTTGTCTTCTTTTAAAGGCATTTGTAGTAATTTCCATGACTTTTACTTTTTATACTTTTCTGTTATTGGTATTTATGAATGATTAGAACTGGGCTTGATATCGTTGTCTTCTGTGTATCATTCTCGTCATGTTTCCTCTGTATAAATTTAGCCGGGTCTTATGTTTCTGTCTATATACAGAGATTCTTTCGCAGGGATTATTTTGCAGGGATTACTCCCCATTACAGAAGCACATATGGTATTAATGACTACATATGAATACTGTTTAGCTATGTATTTATGTAATTATTTATACATGCATTGCATTTTATCTATATTTTTAATTTTTTAACTGCCGGAGGTCTTTCACGGAAGCTATTCTCAACCTGGCGTTGGGGGTAGCCTACTACCCTACCTCCCCCTTACCCCATACATATGGGAATTGGGTTTTGTTGTTGTTGTTGTTGTTGTTTCCCGTCAAGTAAAAAATTCGTGCCCGGACGAAAACCGGTTACGACAAGGTGTGTTGGCACATGAGTCCCTACTTACTTTCATATTACTATTGTGTTTAATACTCATGTCTCTCTGACCGACATAAGATTTGATGTGAGGACACAAAAATAGATTTCCAATAGAAAATATAAAGAAGATAACTAAATTATATAAAAATTTAAAAATTCCAGTAGGCGGTTGCCCTCTACCCCTCGGTCCATCCCTGAACGTCTACTATTTCCTCTCAGGAAGTTGTTTCTGTGTCTAGGGAGTTGGCAAAGAGGGTGCTTGAGAACTGTGAGTCAAAGCTGAAACCTTATCTAATGGAGAACTGGGGCAATTTTTGGGATGATTATAGTAGTGTTATAGCTTCTATATCTCAAGTGGCACCTAGTGCTGTGCCTGTGGTGGATCAGAATGATGTTGTTTTTGGAAAATGTGAGGTAAGCAACTTGTTCATATCGTAGAGAGGGTTTATGTAATGTTAAATACACCGACTGTAGTGTTAAGTTAAATGACTTGTACTTTGCTTTTAATTTAGTGTGTAATTTGTGTATTGCAATTGTGTTAACAGGATGATGAACATGAACAACGACGAATATCTGGAGAAGAAGGAAATGTGATGGAAGATTTAATATTTGAAAACATGTTATTGAAAGAAAATAGAAGTTTGAGGATAGAGAATATGAGTTTGAAAGATAAGATCAGTGAAATTATCTCCAAAACAAACAAAATCATATTCCTTTGTAAAATTGGCATGATTGTGTCATGGATGGTGTTTTTGTTGCATCTGTGGTTCTAACTACCTTGGGAGATATTATGAATGTCAAAGGAATATAGTTCATTAGTCGTCTCTTTTACGACGAGACGTGATTCCTCGCTAGTTTTTTTTAACCTAAACTATTGGTTTTATTTCGTTTTAGTACCAAAACTTTCATTTATTTCATAAACATACCTAACGTTTATTTTTTATTTCTTTTTAGTATCTCGTCGTTAAAACTTAGCGGAACTGTTATAACATGACACTTTTTATGTGTAAATTACATCATTCAACTATCTTCTCACTTTTATTTTGGTTACTGAAGTTTAATTTTTTTAATTTAATTACTTAACTTTCAAATTCCTCCTAATTTAATCAGTCTAACTTTTAAATTTTTTTATTTTAGTTATATATTAATAAAATAATAATAAAAATTTTCATATCACAAAAATTATTAATAAAATAAATTAGAGTAATTAAAACATGAACAATTTAGAAGTTGAGTAGTTAAATTGAATTTTTTTAAAATTTAATAACCAAAATAGGAGTGAGAAGATAGTTAAATGATGATTGGTGTAATTTACCCATAAAAGTGTTGCATGCAACAATTTAGTTAAGTTTTAATGGCGGGTACTAAAATAAAACAAAAAGTAAACATTAGGTATGACTTTGAAACAAATGAAAGTTTAGGTACTAAAACGAAATAAAACTAATATTTTAGGTACTAAACGTGTAGTTTACTCTTTTTTAGGTTTTTATTTAGGATAATTACATATTTAGTCACTTAACTATTTTAATGGTTTCGTTTGGTCACCATTTTTTTTTTCAAAATCATACCTAAAATTACTTTTTGATTATGTTTTGGTCATAAGTCGTTAAAAATAAACAAAACTATTAATGTGACTTTTTTCCCCCAATGAGGATGTGACATTACCTTATGGTGATCATTATTAATTTTTAATGACGGGTTACCACATACGTAGTTTATCCTCAAATTTAAACATAAACTCGAACAACTTAACTCTACTTGACTCAAAACTATTTTAAAATAAAATTTAAGTTATAAAATAAGATTAATAAACTCAATTATTTTTATTAATCTGGAGCAAATAGCTGTGGTAAATTTAAGGTAAAATCTATTCAAAGATAACACTAAATCATTTGACATTGAACATTCGTATCCCTAACATTCCTGATGCTCGTATCCAGAACCTCAAGGAATATCATCAATTCTTTTATCACCGAACTCATCAGATTTGTTCGTAAACTCAATTTTTTGAATCAATTAAACTCTATAATTTTTCCAAAGTCTACTTTGTTTAAGTCTAAGCATCTTGTTATTGTGATTAACAAAAATATAATAATTTGGGCAAACTACACAGGTGACTACCAAACTATGGTCATTAATCGATCTTGCCACCGAATCATTTTTTGTCTAAATTCGACCACTGAACTTTTTAATTGACTCAATCAGACCACTCTCCGTTAAAAAAAGAACTTGTTGACGAGTCCGTTAATAAAATTGGCATAATTATATATTTGGTCCTTAATATTTACACATTCTATCAATTTAGTCACTATTTTAATTAAATAAATTTAACTATCCAATTAGAACATAACACGTGTCAATATATGATTGGAAGGTTTTATTTATGAATTTTAACCACCCAATTGAAATGGAAAACTAAAGAACAAATTTTCGCTCCAAGGGATTCGAACCTGCATCCAAGGGGGAGGGGAGAATAACTAGACGCCCAAACCGTTGGGCCAAAGCTCTCCAATGATTCTAACTTACAACAGTTTATATTTGACTTGTATCGTTAAACGAATTATTTGGTTAAAGAAATTTTAGTTCGATTAATGGTTACAGAAAAAAATTCGGTTAATTCAATTCGATTAATAATTTTCAAATAAATTTTGGTTCGATTAACAGTTAAGGAAAAATAATTTATTTGAAAATTATTAACCGAACCAAATTAACCGAATTTTTTTTCTTTAACATTAATTTAACCGAAATTATTGACCGTTAATCGAACTGAAATTTATTTGAAAATTAGTAACCGATTTTTTTTTCTTTAACCATTAATCGAACCGAAATTATTTGACCGTTAATCGAACTCAAATTTATTTGAAAATTATTAACCGAATAAAATAAATTATTTTTTCCTTAACCGTTAATCGAACCAAAATTTATTTGAAAATTATTAACCGAACCAAATCAACTGATTATTTTCTTTAACTATTAATTGAACTGAAATTATTTGACCATTAATCGAATCGAAATTTATTTGAAAATTATTAACCGAATTAACTAAATAAAATAAATTATTTTTCCTTAATCGTTAATCGAACCAAAATTTATTTGAAAATTATTAACCGAATCGAATTAACCGAATTTTTTTTCTGTAACCATTAATTGAACTGAAATTTATTTAACCAAATAATTTGTTTAATGATACAAGACAAATACAAACGGTTGTAAGTTAGAATCATTGTGGAGCTTTGGCCTAACGGTTTGGGCGTCTAACTATTCTCCCCCACCCCTTGGACGCATGTTTGGATCCTTTGGAGCGCAAATTTGTTCTTTAATTTTTCATTTCAATTGAGTGGTGACACGTGTAACTACCTGATTGGTTAAAAAATTATTTAATTAAATAATTTAAAATTCATAAATAAAACCTTCTAATCATGTATTGACACGTGTTATGTTCTAATTAGATAGTTAAATTTATTTAATTGAATTAAAATAATGATTAAATTGATAGAATGTTTAAATATTAAAGACCAAATATATGATTAAATCAATTAAAAAGTTCGATAATCGAAAATAAAAAATAATTCGATAAGAAGATCAATTAATGACCGTAATTTAATGATCACCCTAATAATTTCATATTAGATTTGAGAAATAAGACCATCAAGTCTTAGAATGAACTCGCCCACACTAGGGTTTTGAAGATTAGGTCTAGCATCCTTGTCGCTCTCTTTTCGATATTTTCCTACTTGTTTTCATTTCCATGGCTTTAGTCATACACTAGGGCTCTCTTGGTTGCTAATTTTTCCTCTAAATTAAAAAAGAAAAGCTAAAATATTCAATATAACTTCTTTGAGTTGACAAAATGGCAACCAAGAACCCTTTTGATCTCTTGGATGATGATACTGAAGACCCAAGTTTGCTTATTGCTGCTGTTGAGCAGCAAAAGCTTGAAAAGCCTAAGAAAGCTCCTGCCGCGGTTCCGGCTCAGCCGGGTAAGGCTTCCAAGCTCCCCACCAAGCCGCCTCCTCCTGCTCAAGCTGGTAGTTTTATTTCTTCTTCTTTGAACGGGTTCTTGATTTTCTTTTTGTTTTGGAGAAGGCATAAAGAAAGTAAAATTTTGGGTTTGTTGTTACAGTAGTTTGCTGGACTATCATTGTTGGTTTTGGTTATATTTTATGTTTTGGCTGTTCATTGGATTGGAAATGAAGTAGACTAGAAGATATATGTGAAATTTATCAATTTTGTCTCGTGGAAACTTCTTTTTCAAGTCTTACGAGTACTTATTTTTCCCGGCAATGAAAGAACAGCAATTTGTGAAATTTATTAGTTCTATCTGTCATCGGAACAAGTATTTTCTTCAAGTATGTTTCTTTGGGTTATTCATTTTTTATATGGATAAGTGTGTTCTGACATTCTGTGTGATTTTTGTTACTTGGCATTACTCAAAGTTCGACAAAAAGTGAGAAAATGGTGGACTTTTGTTTCAATCTGTGTTTATCAACTTCATGCATTTCTCATGTGAAGTTTAAACTTTATTTGGGTCTTCACTTTAATGATGCCAGTGTTCTGGTTTTAGTTTCTGAACCCTTGAACTTTGTTTAGATTTTAATGACATTTTGAGAATTAATCTGATATTGAAGTGTGGTGTGCTTGCGCATTAATTTGTGTTTGTTAATATGTAGTGAGAGAGGCAAAGAATGAGCCTGGGCGTGGAGGAGGCCGTGGTACTGGACGTGGTCGTGGGCGTGGTGGCAGTGGGTTCAACAGTGACTCCAATTTTAGTGACAATTCCAATGGATTTTCAGGGCTGCACAGACTCTCTGAAGAGGGAGAAGGAGGGAAGCAAACTGAAAGGCGTGGCTATAGTGGGCCTCGAGGTTCTTTCCGTGGGGGCCGTCGTGGTGGTTTCAATTCTGGAGAATCTGGAGAAGGGGAGCGCCCACGCAGGCTGTATGATCGCCGTAGTGGCACTGGACGCGGGTTGGTATTTTGCTTATTTGAATTTCCATTTTTGGTCTCAATTTGTTATAAATCTCACTATTGATTTCTGCCTTCGTTAACTATTTATTGCATCATTAATCCATCTATTTTTACTACCAGGAATGAGTTCAAGCGAGATGGCGCTGGACATGGTAATTGGGGTAGCCCTACTGATGAAGTTGCTCCGTGAGTATATATATATATATATATATATATATATATATATATATATATATATATATATATATATATATATATCTTTTCAAATCTCTCGTGCTGTATTCACTACAAAGTTCCTTAGATTGTATGCATATGCATATGTGTGTGTATTGCCCTAAGCAAGCTCATCTCTTGATGCATCTTTTATTTTGGCAAAAATAAGAGAAACTGAAGAAAATGTCCCCAAGGATGAAAAGAATGTGAGCTCTGAAAAGCAGCCTGGCGAGGAAGATGCTGCAGATGCTGGCAAGGAGAATGCTGCAAATGAAGCTGAGGAGAAGGAGCCTGAAACTAAGGTAGTCTTTTTATCACGATTAGGGTCTCTGATAGCAAAACTACTTTTTGTGGTTTTCCCATTTTGTTACTAGTTTAATTAGTGATAAGGGAGTAAATAGAACGTGCTTTGATACTTCTTGAACTGATTATTTGTCTTTTAAATCATTTTTGATGCTAGGCAATAATCATTTTATTCATTACTAGTTCTAATAGTTTCAAAGTACATAGCATCAGTGGCTAAGCAGTAGCCTATTTATGCCTAAGTACACTCTAACTTGGTATATTTCTTAGGTGGATTGATGTTGTTTCTGATAAACTGGGTGAATTTCATGTTTCAATAATTATGAGTGGTGACACTAGCCACACTTCCTCTTTGGTTGATTTAGGCCGACCAAACGATCGACTTAGTTTGAATTTGCCTGGTTTGATGTTAGTCTTCTAATTTTGCTGGTTTCTTCCATCTATATTAGGAGATGACATTGGAAGAATACGAGAAGATTCTCGAGGAGAAGAGGAAAGCTTTGCTTGCCCTCAAGACTGAAGAAAGGAAGGTTGATGTCAAAGAGTTCGAGTCCATGCAACAACTTTCAAACAAGAAGAGCAATGATGATATCTTTATAAAACTCGTAAGATCTCTAAACTTTGTTCTTTTGTTACGCATGGTTTCATTCATTTATTCAATTTATGCTGATATATTGAATTGGCCTTTGATTGTCAGGGTTCTGAAAAGGACAGGCGCAAAGATGCTGAGAAAGAAGAAAAAATCAAAAAGGTTTGCCCACATGATACTGTTGATTAACTTCTTTCGGAAGGATGTGGATCTTGCATTTGACATTTATCTTTTTCATGGATGTAATCCTGTCTTCCTAACGATCGTATTAGGTTGTTATATGGTTTGCATTGGAATCAAGATTTCATTCTAGTTTGACTTAGTGATTCCTCTTGTTTAGAATGTGTTTTTTCTCTTAAAGAATATTAGTATCATTTGCTTAGGGAATATGGTTCTTTTACCAAAAGCGGCAAGCACTTTGGTCATTATTGATAACTGGTTGAACCATTGCTAGATCGCCTTTGGCCGATAGTGGCTGTTCAGCTGTAATGGAAATGAATCTGCAAAATCGTTAGAGGATCAAATTCAATAGTGGTCTTCCAGCTACTTCTCTAAGTTTGTATTTTTATTGGTTACAACCCGAACAGTTTGCCCTTTTAAGCAAACATTTGAAGTTCTGAACTTAAGCATTTGCTGGTCATTGTATATTTTCTTCACCTAATGCTTCTTATGGGCACATAATTTGCATAATTATTTGAATATTACAGCCTTATTAAGTGTTATTGGTACTTGTGATTTGGTTTTCATATTATATTCAGCCCCTGCCGAAATTCTGCCTGACTGTTGTCTTGGTGTAGGCTGTCAACATCAATGAGTTTTTGAAGCCAGCTGAAGGAGAGAGACACTATGACCCTGGGCGTGGTCGAGGACGTGGACGTGGTCCTAGAGGTGGATATGGAGGCAACACAGCTAGCAATGTACCAGCCCCCTCAATCGAAGATCCTGGGCACTTCCCTTCATTGGGTGGGAAGTAAGAGATCCACCATTGTCATCCACACAATGTCTATTGTCTTTCACTTGCTGTGGGTGTCGGAAATTCATTGTGATCCTATCCAATGTTTAGGAGTCAAAAAGAGTTTTTTCAAGAGAACAATGACTTCCTTTTGTAGAAACCAGTTTAATGTCTTCTTAGTGTAAATTTTAGATAATTTACCCATTGATATACAGATTTATGGTCTTTTCCTGACATGCATGCATACCTCCTCTCTCTCTCTATCCCCCTCTCTCTCTCTCTTTTAATTTTCTTTTTCACGTGTTAAGAATAGAGCTCATGTGAATGTGAGTCATAAGTTTTGGTTGGTCCTGTCTGAAATATTGCAGTAATGAATATCTCTTGGATCTCTGTTTTTATTAATGCTTGCATGCAAAATGGACCAACTTCTCTCCTTGTTTCCAAGGTCTGGTTTTTCTTGTCTGAAAACATTAATGGAGGCTAAAGGTAACCTCTCTCACCTTTGAATCCAGAATAAGAGTAGCTTTAATGAGGAGACCACAGCTTCAAAACAAAGGTCTACCAGCTGCCACACAAAGAAGTTCTTTACATTCAGATCTTCAATTGCAACACAAGCAGCTAATGTTTCAAAGACTAACTAGAGACCGACTTCCCAATCCAAAACTCAAAAGAAAATCCAAATTCTATGAATTCCATTGGAGGCCAGTTGAGGTCAAAACACAAAAGTGGCGCATATCCAGAGATTAGAAATCATCAGCCAATACCAGCTTTGGCGAGCAAGTCAGCTACAATGTTGCCGTTTCTTGAAATATGACGAATGGACACATCTTTACCGCAAAAGCTATCCGAAATTTCACGAACCAGACAGAAGAGGAAAGATGGTGATGCCGAGGGATTAAGAAGCAAGTCTATCGCATTCTTACGATCACTTTCGACAATCAGACTATATGAGCCAAACCACTGGGAAGAGAGGAACATCTCGATCCCGTATTTTATGGCCAGTAATTCCGCTGAAATCAGGAGGCCAGGACCAAACTTCTTAGAAAATGAAGCCAATGAGCACCCCTCGGCATTCCTCAATAAACCTCCAATTCCACCACAACTGGCATCACTTCTTATGGCACCGTCAACATTCAACTTAAGAGAACCACTCGGAGGGGGACACCAACATAAGAGAATCAGCTATCGACGGATCCATTACAATTCTTTCCAGGGGTATCGAAATGTTGGGAAATTTAGCTTTGAACCAGAAAGCTAATCGAAACATAATTAAAAGAAAGAGTTGGATGGCGTCCATCGATTTTCCTTTGAACACTATCTCATTCATAAAAAGCCAGATCGACCAGATGGTTGCAAACGGAATGAGTTACCAAATAGAACTTGCAGAATGAGAAATTAAAGCTTCAATCCAAGCCGAGCAAAATGATGAAGGGTCATGAGGGAGAACAAATGAAATATTCCAACAATCCGCAAAACGCATCCACAATTTCCAAGAAAATTCACAATGAAAGAGAAGATGACGAACTGTTTCAGGAACTTTACCACAAAGAGAGCAAAGATTATTCTGGATATTTGAAACTCCTATTTTCAATAGAAACCATTTCAATGTCTTTTTAGTGTAAATTTTAGATAATTTGCCCATTGATATACAGACATACCTCCTTTTACCATTTTTAATTTTCTTTTTCTCGTGTTAAGAATAGAACACATGTGAATGTGGGTCATAAGTTTTGGTTGGTCTTGTCTGAAATATTGCAGTAATGAATATCTCTTAGACCTCTGTTTTTATTAATGCTTGCATGCAAAATGGACCAACTTTTCTCCTTGTTTCCAAGGTTTGTTTTTTCTTGTCTGAAAACATTAATGGAGGCCAAATGTAAAGCTCACTTTGATATGAATGATATCACTTTTCTCTCTACTATATACTCTAAGCTCCATTGAATTTTGTAGTTCCTTCACAGAATACCTGAATTCTCTCACCTTTGATTACCTAGAAGGGGTTGTGATCCGGTAGCTGCACCAAAAAGGCATAGATCAGACAGGTTTAAAACAAGATAAAGATAAAATTCTCTCGCATGTTGATCGTAAAAAAGAAATTTTGTGGCAATGAAATCGGAGCCATATTACCTTCATGGTTTTGCTGTCCATGAGATGGTGGCAATGGTTTGCTAGTTCTCTCTCTGAATTCAGCTATGACCAAATGCGATAAAAGAAGTGATGCAATAAGAGCACCGGCGTTTAGCATCATGAAAACCGTGTCCCATCCCTTTGATGAAAGAAACCCAGTGATAAGAGGGCCGAGAGCAGCACCAACTGAGCCAGTGCCATCAATTATGGCTGTCACTGTTGCTAGTGCCCGAGAATCCCCTCTGAGGGAACTGTGAGTACCAAGGTCTGCTGAAACTGCAGTCGTGATAAGGGCATATGGCCCGTTTACAAACAAGCCAGCTATCATCATCAGTAAAATGTTGGTGGCACGTGAGATATTTCCATATAAACGGTATAAGATCATTGAAGGTATTGCAGCAAACATGAAGGTGGCTGCTGTAGTAGCCCGGGCTATAAGTTTATCGGATATGTAACCAGCTAGGACCCCCCCAACAATACCCCCTACATCAAATAAGGTTGAGAGGTTTCCGGCAGACTTCACAGACATGTACTCCCCACCAATTTCTGTAAAACAATGGAATCAAACAGACAGGAAAACCGAAAGCACTTTGCAGATTCCTAACAAAGAACGGAAAACCTAGTTCAAATTCACGAGTTATACTCGAGGACGAATCTTAAGTAAACCAGCTTCCTAGAATGTGTTTGTCCCACAAAATTGAAAAGAAAAACTTACTTTGAGAGTCAATTAAACAAATTATGACATCAAATCAATCCTATGCACGGCGATCTCGACTAAGGGAAGTTTATGAAAGCTCATTATGAATTTCCAAATACCCTAAACAAGCATCTGATTTCTAGATTGGTTCTCATTTCTGATATTTCACACAAAGTCACATTTATCAATCGAACAAAACAGAAAGCATGGGAACAGGAAAATTACCTGTTTGGCTTAAATAAAATGGTAACCAGTATAAAAATGTATAGGCGACGAGCTTTGAGAAGAAGAGGCATAATGCAAAGGGAATCACGCCTGGTATGGAACAAGCTTCGAAAATTCCAATACCTTTCCTACTCCCCGACCCTGCTTTGAGATCAGAACTTTTTTCTACATTCACCGCAGATCCCTTCTGCTCCGAAGCCTTCTGAATCCGATCCTCCTCTTCAGAAGAGGAAGCATTTGCGCCACTAAAACCAATATCCTCAGGATAAGCAGGCAGGAACAAATAAACTAGTACCCCTGCCGAAGCAATCAATGCTCCCGGGACAATAAAAGACCATCCCCAACCATAATCCAAAACAGCAGCGGCAAGGAGAGATCCACTAATATTACCGACCGAAGTATGTGCATTCCAAATTCCCATTATCAAACCCCTCTTCCTTTTCCCAAACCAATTCCCGATGACGGCCACAACCGAAGGCCAACCGGTTGCTTGAAACAACCCGGCAACCATTTGCATAAAAAGATAAAACCAAAACTCATGAATGTTCCAATAGTATCCCATCCCAAATAGTCCCACAAAAATGCCACTCCCAATCATCCCAATTGTCAAAAACAACCTAAGATCCAGAGTATCCCCTAGATGCCCTGCAACATACATTCCAGAAGAGTAACAAGCCAGAAAAGCGACATCGATTTCGCCCAATTTCGATGTACCATCGGTTCCGTTAAAAGGATACCAACCCTTATTGTTCACCCCATTTGTACCAAAACCCGAAAATTCTTCCTCGATGAAGACATTTCCAACAGGCCATGGAGGATCAGAAGATTTCATGGATTCTGGATACAAAACGCTCTTGACTATGCTGCTAGGTTTCCTAGAGGCGTGATAGGTAGCGTATGCGATGAAGGTAAGCAATAAAATTATATATCTATATGATTTCAGGCTCCAATCTTTACCTCTAATATTTCTGATAAGCAAAATCCCAGGTGGGGTTCGCCTTATCGTATTTGAATTCGTCGACATCTTTCACAAAGACACGAACTTTAACCACTGAAAACCAAAAGAAAAAAAAAGATAAGACATAAAATAACAAAACTCAACATTCAAACGCAAACATAGACATAGAAAAAAAAAATTTACCTCACAAAAACAAACCTTGTAATAATGTAAGCATACAAAGTTGTTTTTCACAGGGACAGAGAATGATGAAGGTTTAATTTTTTTCAGGCGAAGGTAGGAGAATGGTAAGAGGGAGTGCGAGGTTGTCGTGGGGGGGGGGGGGCAGAGGAGACAAAGGGTTGTATCGAGAAAGGAGACACGTGCTAGTTTAATGGCGCTTCGACTGGGAAAAGCCATGCATATAAGCCACCACGTAGGTTCTGATAGCGTTTCAGGGGTTTCTGTGCAAGGCCGGGTTTTACGAAACGTTACTGATTGCCACGTTGCTTAATCGAGAAAAAATTGTACTGATATTGGTGTGCATACGAATATATGATTTTTTTTCTAAAAAAATAATGATAAATTATGATACGTGAGTAAAATTATGTCATTAATTAAACATATAATATCAACTATTAAATTTATGAATCAAAATGTATAACGTTTATTAAACTTTTTTTTAACAAATCGTTTATTAAACTTAGATAATTTTAGGTTTTTCTTTATAATGCTTTTGCTTCAACGTTAATAAAATTTTATTTATTTTTGTAATAATTAATTAAATATTTCTATTATATTATTGTGCACACATGAATTCATGGATGGATTAAGAGTGTGTTAAGAGTAATTACACGTCCTAAAAATTTTAAATTTTTATATTATATATATATCCTTTATATTTTATAATAATTTGGCGTCTTTTGAAATTTTACCATTTCACATTTTTAAAATTTTAAAATTTAGACCTCTCTGCATTAATGGTTACATCATTAGCTTCAACAGTAACATTAAGATGTGTTTATTTATTGATTTTAACCGAATTAATCGACTAAACTAAATTAGTTCGATTAAATGGTTGTCATTGAAATTAGTTCAGTCGAAGAATAATTAATTTTTTTCAATATTCATTTAACGGTTAATTCGATTCGAAATAAATAAATTAATATATTATATATATTAAATACATATTTTAAGTTAAAACGTATTAAAAATTAAGACGCAACTATTTTTTAACCACACTAGACCATTAAATTGTCAAGACCTAATTAAATTTAACTCAAAACAAAAAAAACTTCATTATTGAAATATTTTGTTCGGTGCAATAACTTGGAATTCATGGCTTCAACGCAACTCATTGACGTTTAATAATCCATTAGACGACTCCCGCTCGGTGCTAGAAAGGAGCAAGCATTTACAACAGTTGACATACAAGGCTCAGGTAGGGCGACCCAACCAAACCATGTAGAGATCAGATATATGGAAAGGTTCAAACTTCAAAGCGCCGGACTCCACCCCAAGAGGATTGGTACAAGCTAAATACAAATGGAGCGAGAAGACCAAATGATGGTACAGCTTCATGTGGAGGAGTATTACGAGACTCACGTGACATATGGAGTTTCAGATTCACAAAAGGGTGATTTACCTTGCAATTAGGGTTTTCAAGGATATATTTCATTAGCTAAGTGACTTATTTAATATAATTTAAAAATAGACAATCACTTCAAGCGTGCTTTTCGAATAAAAACCTGTGATTTGTGAGGAAAACATTTTTACAGTTGAAGCCTTTTTTTTTGGAAGTCTACAATTTAAACCTAAAATTAATGAAATTAGGGTGCATATTGACGTGGCAATGTTGTATTGGTTCACGTGACGCAGCATCGGCCGAAGATTTCTTACTTCGAGGCCAAGCGATTTTTGCAAAGCATAATTTTTATTTTTTATTTTTTATTTGCTTGTCATCGGGGAGCCATTAGTCAACCAATGAAACCGTGAACTTTCCAACAGTTTTTGCATTTTCACATTTCCTCAATTACCCTTAGAGAAGATTGCCATAACTACTCATTCTGCTCTAATAACAAACCTTTCGTTTAAGGGTTTTTTAGTAATTTTGAATCCTGAAAATTTTCGAGACATTATCCAAAGCAAGCCCCCATAAATACCACGAGCTCGAAATTGAATGAACAATCATTCAATTTCTTTCGTTTTCTTGCAATTTTCTGTCGTTTTTAATTTCAACGAACGATGGACGCGTTCTCTTCGTTCTTCGATTCTCAATCGAGAAGCAGCTGGAATTACGATACCCTCAAGAATTTCCGCCAGATCTCTCCGATCGTTCAGACTCATCTCAAAAGGGTAATTTACCTTGCAATTAGGGTTTGCGAAGGACAAATTAGGAATCTATGTTAAACTCTTGCGAATTATTAACTTTTTGTTTGTTAAGTTTGAACTAAATTTGTTTCGTGGCCTTTGCACAATGATTTTATTGGTCGAGCCCTAGTTGTATTGGATTTTTGTCAAGTTCTGAGAAGATTAAGGTTCTCATCTTTACGCGGTCCTAGATTCTAATGTGTATTATGGATTTTATCTTCGTTTCAAGACAAATTTATTTATCTAACTATCCATTGTTTCCAATTTTTTTCTTGACTATATGAGTATTGTGCATTTGCTTTGCAGGTATATATGCTTTCTTTTAAATATTTCCCCAATTTATTACCTAGGGTTTGCACTTTTATTTATTTATTTTTGGTTGATCTATATGATTAGATCTTTATGTCGTTCTGAGGATGAAAAATAATACACTTTCTCATCTTTATGGGGCTCTAATGCTTATTGTTATTTTATCTTCGATTTTAAGATGCAATTATCTATTAACTGGTTTCCTTGATTCCAAAATTTTTATTATTTATGATCTAAATTAGTGCTTTTAATTTTCAGGTTTACTTGACTCTATGTTGTGCTCTGATTGCCTCTGCCTTTGGGGCTTATCTTCATATAATATGGAACATCGGTGGTTACCTCACGACATTTGCATGCTTTGGAGCCATAATTTGGCTCCACTCCCTCCCTCCTTATCAAGAGGTAACAATATTTCTTGATGTCTAAAATAATATTAATATTATTTTTTGCGTAGAACTCATCTTTTGTTCTGGTGTTGTAAATGATGCAGCAAAAGAGGTTTTCTCTTCTGATGGCATCAGCTGTGTTTGAAGGGGCTTCAGTTGGCCCTTTGATTGACTTGGCCATTCAGATTGACCCAAGGTATTTTCTGTTATAAATACTAAATGGGTAACTTGTGTTTGAAAAGTCGCAGATTTTAAATCAATAATTTTATTCATTTTGTGCCACCTTTTGAGGGTAATGTTATGCTTATCTGAATGAATTTCGACAATTGATATTAAAATCCCTTGAATATTTTAAAGTTTACTGGCTTTTAGCTTTCTTTTGTCTACCTGCTGGAGTTTTCGAAGTCGCATGGATCTTCCCAATTCTCTAACTGTTGTTGCCATTACCGTTGCTACTGCTTCCAACACCTTCTGTCATGGTCTAATGATCTGAGGCTTCACTGGAATGACCCTTCAAAGATGTCAATTCCTAGACGTGTCAAGTTGGCTTTCGCTCTATGCTACAGCCGCTGGTTGCTTGGGGTCTGCTGTAATAGTAGTATTTGTGTGTTATATGCTTTGAATTCATATAATATTTTACTGGCTTGTGGATTGTCACCATTTTTAGTGGACTAAAATTGCTAGTAGGAATAGTTTGTCTTTATCTTGAGGCCTCTCTTCTTTACTAGAAGACCATTTTCTCTACCAACTACCAGTTGTGGGATGAGAGATACTATGTCTCTTAAGCAAGATTAGGATTTGAATCCTGGCATTGTGAATGGAGAAAATTAGATTGGGAGGGGGTCGCCCCATGATGGGCTTAGTTAGCCAATGATTTGGATACCGGTGGTTATGCCATAAAAAGACCATTTTCTCTCTCCATTTAAATATCATCATGGACTTGGAAGCCTTATTATGTTGGGTCTTTCTTCATTCACATCATTGTGCATTTTCACTGGAGGGGTACTTCATTTGGTTGTTGAACTCTGCCTCAAGCTAGTGTTGTTCTATTTCTGACTCCTCAGTTTCTTTGCCACTGCTGCAATTCAGCTTGCTTTAAAATCAAATGCTGTGGAAATGCATCTACTTGGACTCATTTATTCCTAGTGGAGGATGATTATGCTTTATGTTTGTTTTATTTTTACTGTTATCTACAGTTATAAATCTCTATTGTTTTGTATACATTTTATTAATCTCATTTCCTCTATTTGGACAGTGTTCTGGTAGCTGCATTTGTGGGAACAGCGTTGGCCTTTGCATGCTTTTCAGGAGCTGCTATGTTAGCAAGGCGCAGAGAGTACCTTTACCTTGGGGGCTTGCTTTCATCTGGTGTGTCCATGCTTCTGTGGTTGCATTTTGCTTCCACTATCTTTGGTGGTTCGACAGCCTTCTTTATGATTGAGGTGGGTGAATGTTGAAACTTTTTGTGTTCTTGTAGTACTCGAAACTATGCTGTTGGCTGTGACTAACATCCCACTTGGGATTTGATGGTTCTCACAGATCTACTTAGGACTCTTGGTGTTTGTCGGCTACATGGTAGTGGACACACAGGACATAATTGAGAAGGCACACTTGGGTGACCTGGATTATGTGAAGCATGCCTTGACCCTTTTCACTGATTTTGTTGCTGTATTTGTTCGCATTCTGATAATCATGGTGAGGGAAGCTAGAATTCGTGATAAACCTTTATTTTTAGTTACTGACTTGGTTAATAATATTTTGAACTAACATGAAACATACTTGCATCCCAGTTGAAAAATTCAGCCGAGAAGGATGAGAGGAGGAGGAAGAAGAAGAGGAATGACTAAATCATAAAGCAGTAGATGGGAAAGGCTGCAAATATATAACCTGTCATGGAAAGCTGAAGTCGGCTGTTAATGCAAGTTGTTTCCTTTTATTTTTGTACTAAAAAACATCGTATGTTGATATACAGAAAGGGTAGGTCTTGCCGTTTCTGTTTCTCCTGGTGGCTTTTATATGAAACCTCTAAACTAATGACACGTTTGATATTTGCTATTTATTAATCTCGCTCTCTGCATATGCTAGAGAATGAAATTCGATGCTGTATTTAAACTATGGTATCCGGTGATATTGTGTGAATAAACTTTTACAGTTAATTCGGTGCTAACCTATTTTTGACAATAGCCTTAATGACTATCTATACGATGGTTATATTATCATGGTAATATTTGATAATAATCATTCTTAACCATTTAATCATTTAGGTAACCCAAATTGATTCCACCAAGTTAATTCTAAAACATTATTAATGCATCACTAGAATTGATCATGGGATATATTTACTTACATTGCCTTGAATCAAAAAATAATTTTTGGTACCCAATTTTGACATTTATGTATAATATGATATATAATTTTTTTGGTGCATTCAAGTACCTAATTTTTTAATGTTGTAATTATGTATCTAAACATTTTAATGGTGCAATTAGGTACTTGACTTTTTTTAATGGTATAATTAGGTGTCCAACTTTATCTATTTAGTGCTATTAGGTACCTAATATTTTTTAAAGTTAGGAGGTAAAAGATTCTAAGTATGAAGCCGTGTAATTGAAAAAAGAATATTAGGTAGCCAACTACTTCAAAAAATAGAAGTTTGATACCTAATTACACCAAAAAAATTAGGAACCTAATTACACCATTAAAAATAGTTATATACATAATTGCACTGAAAAATAAGTTGAATATCATCTTTCACATAAATGTGAAAGTTAGGTAGAAAAAAATTATATTTTCCCATTCGTAAAATACCTATTGTGAAATGTAACTTCAAACTTCAAATAGCCTTTTATGGAATGCAAAAGGTTACAAATTCTTTCATTTATGCAAATAGCGATAGATTATATATGGCAAGAGTGCGGTTGCTTAAGCCCGATCGCAGTCCATTTTTTAAGCCCAAAAATGAATCGAGTGGACTTGAAATGAAATGATAGTGACAGAACATTCTGCTCCTCATTTGGTCCGCACCACCTCGATCGGGATCGGGATCGGGACAAACCAGTTTTCGGCATCGGATTCAATCGCTCTTTCTTCCTAATCCTAAGCCGCCGCCTGTCTTCAGCCAAACTATTTGAAATTTTCGCCGCCCAGGTTAGTTTCCTCCGCCGTTTCCTGTTTCTGTTGGCTTTTCTCTTTTTATGATTCTTTTAGGCACGTCATTTTTCTTTTTTACTTTTCTTTTTAGCGAAGGTTAAGCGTGGGTTAGAGTCAACTTTGGGGATTCTATTTGATTTTTGTTTCCTAACTTCGTCTATTAATTTGTATTGCTGGAATTAGATAATCAATCATGTGATCGAATTTCTTTTAAAAAAATTCATGTTTTGAGTTTAGTGGATGCTAAAGGTGAAATATAGAAGATGGACAAATTAAGGGAATTTGGGAAGAAAGCTTTGTTCTACGTAAGGGTTCTCTCTGGATATGAAGAACGTAGAATTCGGAACTACAGATTGGAGCTCGAGAAACGCCTGCAACAGGTCTTTCTCACTTTCTTAATTTCTATAGATTTGTGGACCTGAACATATTTGATGGCATGGTTTATTTTGTAAAATATTTAAGTAACATCTTCTCAGAAGTTTAGGATTGTGTCGAAGTGAGAAGCATTATTTATGCAATGAGTTGGCTGCATTCAGTATGTAGTTGAAAAGGTTATGTTCTAATATGCATATCAACTTGGAAAATTTAACTTATATATGTTTATATTATCTTAGTACCTGTTGAACTTCTTGCCCCAAAATCCTAATGTTGGTTTTCCTTCTCTATTCTTCGGTTGTTCAGGCGCAAGCAAGGAAAGCAGCCCTAAGAAAGATTCCTGAGCAGACTGTATTACAAGAGGTTCGCCGAATGGTTGAGGATATGCAAGCTCTAAATAAAAGGCTTGAAGAAACAGTAAGTTTTTACTTGTGCTTGGAAATTATAGCGTTTGCTGCCTAATATTTTAATGTAGTTGGTTTTTAAATGTTGGCACTGTCATTTATAACCTTGATTCATTCGTGAGAAAAAATGAACCAAAGAGTGTCCTCTTATGTGGTCTTATATTTGCACAATTTTTAAGGGAAGACATCCACTGATAAGTCTTGTCCTGTTTTTGAGGAGTTTATCCATGTTGGTTGATTTTGATTCAAAGTTGGAATTCACAAAAGAATCAAGTTATTACTTATTAGGTTACTATGTGCGATCATTGGCAAATTCCTTGCTTATTCACGTACTCTTTCATTGCTAGGTTCAGATACCTGCTTTCAGACTTTGATCGACCCGAACTATTGGAACCTCCCATAACAAGTTTAATGGTCACTTTGTCTAAATAAGCGAATTGCATTTACAATCATTTTTCGTTTTCAAGGCACGAGTCATGATGGGAATTCCAAGGCATCTTTCTGTTCCTATTTCAGAATGATTTTTTTTTGTCTTTCATAAAAAAATTTGTTGTTTACTTTCAGGAAGCTGCCATCGAAGAGTACTTCAAACCAATAGATAAGGAAGCTGAGACGATAATGAAAATCCAGCTTGATGGAGAAGAGAAGACAATGAAACAGATGATGGCAACAATGCAGAGAGAGGCCTTTCTTGAGAAAATGGAAGCCGAGAAAATGGCAAACATATGTCAACAGGATGTGAACCAAAGTAACCAGGATGCTACTACTCTTAGCAGCAGTCAACATGCTCAAATGAGATAGTTAACCAACATCGATTCCATGAACGCTTATATTTTATGTTTCCCCTCTTTGGGTTGGGTTGTATGTTCGACTCGAGAGGTGTTTGAATAAATTAAGGCTCTTACTGAGAAAAGTCGAACCGTCTAAAGGCTGAGTTTTGTCATTTAACAAAGTTATTATTTGCTTATATTGTACTAATAAATGGTGATCTCATTGGATGGATAGGTACTGAGTAGTGAACGAAAATTTAGCCGATAAACACTGGCGTTTATTTTATATATTTGATGATTATTATCATGCAAACCTCAAGGCCAGCCTACACCGATTCTATTTGATTACAAGGTAGTATCTATTCAGGGTTTTTCTTAATTATTGACAATACATATACTCTGCATATGTAGCTGTTCCTATTCGAACTTGAATCTCTCTAGGGGAAACACTCAAATAGTTCATTGAATATATTTTAATAATACATATTTATCACGTAAAAATGTTAAAAAATGGTTCTATTTTGATTATTAAAGGCCATTTTCAAAGGGAATCTACTAAACCTTCCGGGGTTGGCATTACCGTCTCCAAATTTTTCTTTGGTGTTTTGGCTTTTGTTTTCAATTCTAGCACTATGGACAACCTTTCCTTTTCATTGTTTACAAGAAAAGTTGAATCCCAATGGGGCAAGTAAACCCCAAATCCATGTCTAAACTAAATCATCGTCTTAAAGCTTAAATCTATGGATATCTTTTATGTCTAAACTAAGACATCTTTGGTCCCCATGCTCTATGTTTTGTTGGGATTATTTTTTACATAAACAAAGTGTCTCTTACTTGACTTTTTTTAATCACACCCATTAAGGCCTAGTTTGGTGGTTTGGTTGGCTTAATCTTGTCTTTTGCCAATTTTGAACTTGTTCATTTGCTTTAGGCACATGTATTTATTAATACAATTACATCAATTCCATCATTTGCTTTGACAGTAGATGCCCACTGCCCCTTGCTTACGTGAAAAATTGTTTTACTATTTTTGTTTTCCTTTTCAATTAACCCCAAGGTGAAATTATTGATTATTTTCAGTACAAATTTCAAAGATTCTTCAAGTAAAGAATAGTTTGGTTGGATGGACCGTCACCAAAGGAAATGACATTGAAGCTCAAGCATAGTCCACGAACATTGTTATTTCATAAACATATGACATCACACCCCACCCCCCAAAAAAGTTAACCATATGGTTTTGAATTGGTAAGAGACATCCTTTCATGAAGAACCAAGTAATCATTGACCCAAAGAGTTTTTCTACATAATTCAAAGATTTTTTTTGTCCATTCACCCCATCATTGTTTTTGGTAACCAAAAATTAAATCCTTTCAACAATAATTTACAATTAATTTTTAGTGAACTTCAATGTTCATGACTTCTTATATATATATATATATATATAATTATTGATATTTAATCTATCGGTCAGTTAATTTGGATCTAGTACTATAAAAGTATATCATGAACATGATTCTTTCAATCCAATTTATTTCATTTATAACGTCAAAATTTAAACCCTTAACCTTATTTAAGACTTACCATCTTATCTAAATTGGCTAACTAGTAGATGATTATAATTGGGGTAAACTACATATTTAGTCGTTCAACTATTCTCGTGGTTCCGTTTTGGTCACCCAACTATTTTTTTTTAAAACCATACCTAACGTTACGTTTTGGTAACCCATAGTTAACAGATTAACGATGATGTTGACATGTCACCATAAGATAATACAATGTCATCATTGAAAAAATTATCACATCAACAGTTCTGTTAATTTTTTAACAATGAGTGACTAAAATAGAACCAAAACGTAACATTGGTATGATTTAAAAAAAATAGTTAAGTGACCTAAACAAAACCACGAGAATAACTAGATGACTAGATATGTAGTTTACCCTTAATAATTAATTTGAATCTAAAAGACTAAAACATAGTTTTTAACTTTTTACTGGCTAAAAAAAAATTGGAGACAATCCCCATGTTCCATTACCCAAAAATCTAGACCATTTTGTACATTTATGATGCAGAAAACTAGGATTCTCACTTATAATTTTGGTCAGAACAATCCAGTAATGATCCCACCAACTGCCCTCTACCATTGTCTCATTTTCTGGTGTTTTGTGAATATTGGTCTTAATTGAGATTTGAATCTTAATCAATTTTATTTCAAAATATATAATTGAATTATTAGAAATAAGTAATCAATTTCAAAAATAGTTTTAAAATTAACTTATAGAATAGTGTTTAGTATGAATATAACTTGGGGAAGGAGAGGTAACCAAATGCAATTTGGATTTTGAATATTGATCAAAACTTTTCAGTCAACCAGGAATTTTAAATCTTTATTTTTTGACTTCCGTTAAGGATTAATATAAATGCAATAAGAGAATATAATTTCATCTAATTCTTTTGAATTATATATTAAGGAATAAAGTACACAAATGATCCTCTAATTATAAGATATTGCTTTGTCGAGTCCTTCCACTATAAAAAGTTGCAAAATGATCCTCCGACTATATGAGTTACTTTGTTGAGTCCCTCTTTTATTAAAAGTTACAAAATTGTCACCCTACTATTCATTGTATTCCAAACTCGTCATTTTCCGTTAAAAAATTAATGACAGTTTGAGCTAGACGTTAACTTACTAACTAAAATATGATCTCATAATCTCAAACAACTATCATATCTTAGTCAGCATGTTAACGCCTAACTCAGATGACCGTTAATTTTTTAACGAAAAAGACGAGTTTGGAACATAATGAATAGTCAAGTGATCATTTTCTAGCTTTTAATAATCGAAAGACTCAACCAAATAACTTCCTATAATCGGGAGACTTAACAAAACAATATCTTATAGTCGGAGGACCTGTGCATTAATCGATCATTTTTCTGGAACCGTTGAAGAGCACATACTAACCACTGACTAATAAAAACAAGATCATGCATGAAAAAAGTTAAAATTCTTAATTACAAAACTCAAAAAATATAAGATACAAACAATCACTATTGTCAACGATAAATGATAAATACTATCAACGCTAACATAAAAATAAATATAATGATGACGAGATGTTGACAACTACTTTATCACAATTTAAGCGCGACCGATTCATGGTGATTATGAATATCTATCAATACAATAGAATCAGAGTGAGATTTCAAACAAAGGTAAATCGATAAAATAACCTAATAAATATTCGCGGGAGAGACAACATTAAATTCAACCCTAAAAAAATCTACAAAACAGGAAAAAAAAATCCACCATTTTCATTAGAAAAATAAAAAGACTTATGATTAGCCATTCTTTTACTTTAATAGACTCAAATTCAAATCATTTATCTTCATTATTATTTTATTTAATTTTTACCAATAAGATAAACTTTTGAGAAAACATGTTCTCAACCTTTAATCAAGTGATAGACTTAGTCCAACAATTAGTAGTCTTAAAATTAGGATCAATTTGTCATCATCTAATTAAAGTTATTGAATTAAACTAAAATTAAGATCAATTTGATAGAATACATAAATAACAAGGACTAAATATATAATTATATGTATTTGTTTAATTATCACATCAATATTTCTATTCATATTTAATATTCAATGATTTAATTAATAACATTTTAATAATTAAATAACCGTTTTAATAATTAAAAAAACAACTACAAATTGACAAAATTTTTAATTCAATTATTAAAAAAATTACTCTATAATTTAGTCACTGTACATATAATTTATCCTAAAAATATTGGCATTGCTTTGAATGATTAAAACCAGCTACAACATGTTTCATTCAATCATTTACTATTGTTTTTTATTTCTATAAATATTATTTAATTATTCTTTTTATTTTCTAAATAACATTTTATTTATTATATATAACTTTTTAGTACATGTTTTTATTAATTTTCAATTACTTTTTTGAGGGATACAATATTCAATTAATTTTTGAAAAAAGCTGTTGAATTTCAGCCGTTAGATTTGAAATTTTGAGTTCATTGTCAGTTGGTTTTGTGTCAAAATCTTTTCATGAAAAACAAACACATCCTATCCAAAGGCTACATTTGCCCCTCCATTTTGCTCACCTTGATTTTTTAAAATAATTATTATTGTAATCTTATTTATTTTGACCGAATTTATAGTGAAAAAAATTCAAGTTTATTTATATTTTTATATATTTTTTTCAACAAACTTTTGCTTTTCACAAAGAGTCACAGCTCCTCCATGACTCATTAGATACTAAAACACTAACCCTAAATATATTTTTCATCAAGTGGGACCAAATCTCATCAATTCTTCCTTATTAAATCGGATGGCTGATAATCAATTTTGACAGCGATCTTCACGTTGGACGGTGGAGATTACGTGAGATCTTTTAAACTTATAAAAGATAAAAATATTAAGGATGTGATTTAAAAGTCATCAAGTGACTAAAATATATTTGGAAGTAATTATAAATATTTTCTTTATTCACTTGTTTTAGTTAATGATTTTAATTCATATAACTATACTTTATCAATGAAATATGTATTATAATAATAATAAGAGAAAATAACCTCAGTGACAAAAAAATGTCTTATAATATACGAATTTAACCAACTTTTTTTGGATTTGCCAAACTGACCAACAAATTCGCAACGCGAATATGTAAATCGCATTGTGATTTTTCAAATTCGCGTTGCGATTTTCCAAATTCGCAACGCGATATTCCAAATTCGCAACGCGATAGTCAAATTCGCAACGCGATAGTCAAATATTTTTACGCGAAACACAATATTAATTTCGCAACACAAATGTAAACAATATTATCGCAAATCATCTCTAACCTAAAACCTTAAAGTACAACTCAGTCCCATCTCCATCTCTCACTCTCTACGGCGACATCCGTCCCCATCTCCGACGAAATCCGTCTCCATCTCCGATGAATTCCGTCTCCATTTTCGACGAAATCCGTCTCCATCTCCGATGAATTCCGTCTCCATTTTCGACGAAATCCGTCTATCTCCATCTCTCATATCAACCCTCACAACCATTCACAGTCAGAAATAGAAAATCAACCACCGATGGTTAGTTTTTTTAATATCTTATTTTTATTTTGAAATTTTTGTATTATTACTAGATTAACCATTTCACTGAGATTGCTAAATTCAT